AACTGCGTGGTCCATATCGCCAAGGCACCCCCCGCCTGTTGTTTGGTATGACATGCAATAAACGCACATCCTGCAGTATCGAAGCACTTCCTGAAGTAATGCGTTAACTTCCGGAAACAAGCACTATTGCTCACAGACATCCCTACTGAGATGTTGCCGTTAGCGCTGAACAGGCGAACGCTGCTCGCTGGAAGAGACAGCAAAAAGTGCCGGAGCCCTGGACAACTAGAAACTGCCATGACGACAAAGTGTGCGCAGCCTCAACCACAATACTGTTACAGTTGAAAAACAAAATTGTGTGAAGTGTCGTTCATGTGCTCATCGAGAGCGGGGTCATACCGATCGTCTACGCCACAATGCCGGCCTGTATAAAACAACAGAAGCGGTTTCCTAGCTCATCAGCGGCCGGTTGCTGCAACAAACAAAGCACTCATGGCAACTGTGAAAAGGCCTGCCGTCATGTCATAGCACCGTTCACCTTGCAGCAGCTTAACACACTCCCTGGAAACATCAAAGCTGCAACTATTTGCCAGCGGCACATTTGCGACCAGCAAACCCTCGTGCGCCAAGTTTAAATAAAAAGAGTCAATCGCACGCTTCAAAACAGACAAAACCAAAACTCTGCAGAACTTGCATACAGCCCCTGTACATGAACAAGCCAGCCCACTGCTCCTAGCTATACCAAATCAAAGTGTCTAATTCGCCCGGCTTCGTTGATCTTTGCGCCTATAATCAGGCAGATTGATGCTGCAACGGAACCACTTCCACTGTGAAACATGCTTCCTCAAAACTGCAGCCTACTCGCCTTGCATACATCAATGCAAGTGCCAGCAAACTCTGAATTCTTTGCCACGACCTGCATTAGCGCGCCCATGTAAGTCTCAGCTACCTTCTACAGCAGGCGTCCGCATCATGTGATGTGGCAATTTCCGGAGTATTAAACCATAATGCGTTCCATCTCTGTCCAAAGTGAGGCTCGCGTCCGCTAAATAAATTCCGTTTGAGTTAGCTAGAGGAGGTACGCATTGCGTTGCCTTTTAGCATGCTAATGCATGAATATAATAATGCTGAACGTTGGCAAGAATGCCTCATGACCCACGCCCGCCACTAGCGCAACGCATCGACTTTTATGTGCAGTCCCAGGACAGTCTACTCTGGGTCCTTCAGCGACACAAGCGCTCGCCAAGACCAAGTTCAGTACGATGCAGGTTGCTTCCACGTCATTTATCTAATCTTGTGGCTACAGTGGTGTCACGTTCCTCAAATGCACAAGCGCAACAATTGTCGGCGCTAGAATTCATGCTACGTCGTGCAACTAAGCACAGGAAAAGTACGCGCGCTGTTGTCCAGTGCACGATGCGACGTGAGTGCAAAATGCGCCAATTTGGCTCAAGGCACAGCTGCCGTTCTGGATTGTACTCCATCGTTCAGGAGTGAGGGGTAAGCGCACAGCAGGTTCCACTGATAGGGCGCGACTTAGTATAGGTAGTCTGAAACGTTCCATATGAAGAGCAGTGAAGGTTGCACAAAATCTGACGGTTTGCTGACGTGCTAGACAGCGAATTTCTTCGAACATCGCCCTCAGCAATGCCGGAGAGGAAACGGCAGCTACATGAAACTCTGGGCATCTTCACTCCTGCTAGATCTGCCATTACTCCGACGTTACAGTGTGCCAACCAAACTCACTGCAGGCAGGCTAATACACGAATTCGCGTAGACCACAAGGTACTCATATGCCTATTTAATTTGCCGTGACACCACGCCTTCAGCACATGGCCTCCATCTCGTGAGTACGTTTCACTTAGAGAACATACCTGAGATTGTCTCCAGGATCAGAACAATGACGTTCAGGCAGTGTCTACGCGCTCTCTCCCAAAATATCCTTAAAAAGAAACGTCCTGTTCACAAGCCCTTGTTCCAGTGGGGCGTTTACTTCGAAGCGCACTGCATCCGATTGACCTGTGTAATCCAGAAACCATAAAGGAATACGCTATGCACTGGGTAGGACCCGGTTGTTTTGTGCTTCGTGCGTCCAAACAGCAAGCCAGCAACTGTTGCCCGATTCGCCGCAGGGCGCGAGCGGCTTTGTGTGCATGCAGCCCGCTTCTAGGCACGCGTTCACTTCTCGCTCGTTTCCTATCAATCAAAGCTTGGGCTCTGTGCGACATTATGTTGCCCTGGATTCAAACATGATTAAACGGCCTCGCCAATAGCAGTAACTCTTAATAATGGTGTACCTGAAAAGGTCATTCAACAGAGGCGTAAAGGACTGCCAATCAGACCTACAGACTGGTGTCCAAGAATGTGTTCGTTGTTCTACATCTTAAGCACAAAATTCACACTCTCAGATACTCGTCTGGTCACGAAAGGCTCCAACTAACATAAGCCGCAAGCCCTTCCTTGTAATATAACGCACAAAAGACAGACCCCAATTCAATATACACGTATTTAGCTAACACGTCCAGGCTGCAGCACTGCAATCCAAACATGAATAAACGACCATGTAGTTTACTGGGAATGGCTTCATGTCCACAGACGGACAAAGAACAGGTCATTCATGAGAAGCAAAGAAAATGCATGCATTACCTCATATTTTGAGGTATTTAGGAAAATATTTTTACCGAGCTAGACGGAGCAAGAAAGCGACTGCTAATACTATTTTCATGTCATGCGCGTGCTGCATACTCAATGCCCTGGTCGTGTTGCCTTACGCTGTAGCAGGCCCAAGTTTCCGCTGCATCACAAACCGATGCTTAATTTACTTATAGCATAAAATCAGGCTCTGATGCACGGCATCTTCGAACAAAACAACATGCCACTGCCGGGATGGAGAAGGCTTTTTGATTAGCGTACTCTCTGCAATAGCCAACAAGTTCAAAACGAATTCAAGCTCTGCAAATACAAACGAATACCACAGAATACCATACGCCGCTGACTCGACAAATACGTCACATTCCGCGGGACTCGTCTCTGCTTGACCATGTGACGTCACATACCAGAGGCACAAAACACCACGACACGGCAAGCAATTCCTGCATCATCATCCTCCGCCTCTAGAATTACAGACTCATCCATACCGGAGATTCCATCGACAGCCAACGCTTCACAAACCGTTTTGCCTTCTCACGTCTCCTTCCATGGAAGTACAGTACAACTAATGATACTGCCGGGATGGAGAAGGCTTTTTTGAGTAGCGTACTCTCTGCAAATAGCCAACAAGTTCAAAACGAATTCAAGCTCTGCAAATACAAACGAATACCACAGAATACCATACGCCGCTGACTCGACAAATACGTCACATTCCGCGGGACTCGTCTCTGCTTGACCATGTGACGTCACATACCAGAGGCACAGAACACCACGACACGGCAAGCAATTCCTGCATCATCATCCTCCGCCTCTAGAATTACAGACTCATCCATACCGGAGATTCCACCAAAAGCCAACGCTTCACAAACCTTTTTGCCTTCTCACGTCTCCTTCCTTAGCAACACAGTACAACTAATGCCGTGATAAGATATGCGCACATTCTATACTCGTAAAGGTACACTAGAGCAACTGCTTTTACATTCGTTTCATAGTTTATCCCTCCGGTTCCTTTGTCCAACGATCAACAAAGGGACGCGCAGTCTGATGAATTACTGTCAACAGAATCGTCCAGAGCGCAGCATGCCTGTCACAACGCATAGCACGTATTCATAAGACCCTCAGGGACAGGAAGGGACAGGAAGAGGTGTCATCTGCACATACGCATTTTAAATGGGAAAAACAACA